TAGAGCGTCTGCTGTCAAGGTTCAAATCTTTTATGCCAAATCCCACAGTCAGCTGACTAATGTGTGTGCCTTAAAGCTGATACACTGACATGCCATTAAATCTGCTGTCATACCTGCATTAAGACTACATATTCTATATTTGATCAGGGTATCTACAAGTTTCAGGAGGAAATTCACACTCATTAGGGTTCCTTTGACCAGAAAGTGAAACATTTTCGGAATGATACGATTAATATTCTTCCGCTATGCATCGAATCGAGTAGTGATTTCTGATAATAATCGAAATCTCTTTTCTTGGATTTAAAATATATTTAAAATATACATATAATTCACCCCAAAGTTCTCACTTTTATGGCCAGGGAGCAAAGGTGGAAAAAATGACAATGATTTAAAATCCTTTGTTTTGACAGTTCTGAAAACTTAGAATGAAGTAAAATAAATACTTTACTACTTAATACACTTTAAATATTATTTAAATATACTGTAAATATTATTTAAATATACTTTAAATATTTCAGTCTTTTTCTTATGAATTCCAGACTTTTTGGATACGAAGTTCCTTCAACTTTCCCATTTTCCTAGTCCTGTTCAGACTCTGTTCATACATAGACACAGTTCTGTCTGGCACAGTCCATTCTCGATTGCCAACACAAACCGCAATGATTGAAGCTTCAGCAAATAATATTCAAAAGGCTACCACTCCATAATTACAATCAACATCAAAACGGGATGGTAAATTCAATTTGGTGCCACATCTCAATACAAAGTTAAAATTTTTGGAATGAGCAATTCAAAATGGAGCTTCCCTGCTAGACCAAAATATTTCTAGATTTATTACAATGAAACTACCATGAAAATCTTTATGAAATAGTATTATTAAATTTTGTGTCACGAGTACAGTTTTCATGATAACTTCCTAAGAAAGTCGTAGCATCCAGGTAAAATGTCATACTTTAATTCTCAATTTTTTTGAGTCCTCCAAGAATGAAGTCTGAAGCTTCCAGTTAAAAATTCCAGAGGTTTTTTCTTGCACATCATTAATATGGCTGTAGAGAAAACAATAAGCCCCAGGAATTTTTCAATAAATTTGAAAGGTTAGTTAACGATTTATCTGATTGTGGTGAGTTCATAGATGATAAAGAGAAAATGCAGTATCTGTTACTCACCCTCCCTAAATCTCTATTTTATATGAATGCTCTAATTGAGTCAGTCCCGGTGGAAAATCAGACGCCTGAATATGTTAAATCAAAAGTTCTTGCAGCGTTTCAAAGAAATCAATCCAACGCTACCGAGGAGGCAACAGTACAGCTAAATTCATTTCACATCTCATGAGGAAATATAGGAAGGCATCAAAGAGAACAACGGCGGTATAGAGGATCGGCAAACTCAAATTGGCATTCAAACAATGGTTCAAGAGGAAATAATGACTCAAAATGGCGTGGCAGTTACAATCGAAGAGGCAACAACAATAGAGGTTCTGGTTCTAACAGGCGGAACTGGAGAGGAAACTTTCGTGACAGAGGCAATAACCGAGGAAGAAGATACATAGGGCAAACCTATAATACTAATCAGGAAAGGTATCCTTATAATAATGACAATAATTATTCAAATTCGTATCAAAATGAAAATCATTCTGACGAACATTCAAACCGAAATTTTAACCAAGAAAATTATTTTGCATCTCCATCAGAGTTTTTAAACTATACTGTAATTCTCGTAGACAACTCTTTAAATTCAAATAGAATTGAAACATCATTTTTGTTGGATAGCGGCTGCACACATATCTCCAATTTACTTTGAAGAGCTTGTTGCAACATTAAAGGGAGCTTGTTGCAACATAAAAGGAGGAACATGAACGCACCATAATCAGAAATGGGCCTTTTTTTCGTAAGGTAACTGTCCCAGCACAAATGAAAATTAAAAAAAAGCAATATCCTAAGCCTTAAGAATCTTTTCTGTCTGTATCATAATGACAAGAAGAAAATAAACCAAAAATAATAGAAGGAAAGTGAAATGGAGAGTGTCCTCTCTTGGCGACATCTCTATGAAAACGCGACCTTGTCATCTTCATTATTTCCTCAACATCTTTCTGTGCTCTCTCTCCTAAGTTTCTTTCATCTAAAAAAAATAGAGTCTTTTTCCGTCTTGTGAGTCAAAATTAAAGAGGTAATAAATTATTGAAATTTTGCTCTTTGTTCTAATAATCAAAATTTCAGAAAGTTTGAAGTTACCCTCATATTGAAGAACAGTTTTCTATTTAAATCTGTCAAAGAAGGTTGAACGAAAGATAACCTCATGGTAAATTGGTAATTCTGTGTAGTAATTAGTTCTCTGTTACTTTCTTCCAACAGAGGAAGAGATGAAATATGTACTCTTTTCACAACATATTATTAGAATGGATAACCAATCATGCTGCCATTCCTCTCCTGGGCTACAGGGATCACCAGCCCAACACTGCCATTGCAGAAGACCTTGCATACCCAAGAGCACAGGCTCTTGGTTGAACATCCTGCGAGTCTGGCAGCTCTATGACACTGCCTAAACAAATCATATCACAATTTTCCACCACTGCAGTTTTCACGGAGGAAATATGAGAGAGAAACAGTTTTGTGTAACACCTCAAATGCATGTTTGGGGGTTTTCCGAGCTATTCACCGAGGGTTTCAAGTATTACCAGTTGAAGAGATACACTTCGTTTCGTGAATGCATTTCTTCCTATTATCAGCGCGGGCAGCCATGCATATTTTCCTCTTATCAGCGCGGGCAGCCATGCATTTCTTCCTCTTATCAGCGCAGGCAGCCATGCATTTCTTTCTCTTAAGAGCGCGGGCAGCCAGCAAATCCTCACAGAATTTTATTATTACCGTTCTTCGTATGAGTTTGGAAGGAAATGTCTGAGTTTGGCAATTGAGAGCCAGTAAGTAATTTGCCTTGTGTATCATCTCTCTTTTTTCTTCCAGCGGGCTGCAACAACTGTCATTATTGACCCTCTGTAGTTAGATTTAATCAGTGTTACTAAATGTGAATGATTTCTATGGCTACGAATTATTCATTGTCTTTTATAAGCTTTTTGAACTCTTCTTTGTTTTTCTTGAACTTTTATTACCTAATGTATTGTTAAATTATTTCCTTAATATCTGGTATTTTATGCACTATGAATGTTTGCTGTTTTCCAAGTGTAGTACAAAGGTTTACTTTCAGATTATAATTCGTTCTCAAAGACTTTCTTTCAAAGGTACGTTCCTATCATTTTTTCTCTATTCATGTTTTTTTTCTGCCTAACCTCTATTCTCTGTGAGAAACGCGGATATCTGCACTCACCGAGTCCGATATTCACGCCCGACAAGAGCAGGGCCTCTCGACGCTGGGCATCACTGACATCTCTGATGATGTCGATGCATGGGTTGATGAGCAGGATCTCAATGAGTGGTTAACCACACACTGGACTACCCTCCTAGAGGCTAGGAAGAAGGCTTTCCAACTTAGCTAAAAAGATTTTCTCTTTTCTTTTAGTTCTTCTGGCAATCCTTACCTGCTGATAAAATGAGTTATCATTTCCTGAGTGATATTAGTGTGTATGTGTATATAGTTTTCTAAAGTGATCAATGTGTGCCGCTTTGGACGACTGTTTGTTATAAAGTAATATTTTATAGCCTGTTGGTAAAGTGTGTATTTTTTCGTCTGGACTTTGGACAAAATTGAAATTGGAATAATCCTAAAATATGTATCCATGATATATTTAAAATTTTGTATCTATATCCCTTTTTCCAAAAAAAGATCCAGGTGATTCAATTCGCGAAAGATAGATTACCGATTGGAAAGTTTCTTTATTACTTTTCCAATGGAGCGAGAGATTTTGATGTCAGGCCGTTGGAAGAAGTCGACGAATCATTCAAAATCAAAAATGTAATAATTTCCACCACGAAGAACATCCCCCCCCCCCCCAGCTGTTCTTCCCCCTGAGGACGAGGGGAAAGTATTTCCTATTAAATCCGGTTCCCCACGGGTTGGGGGCGTTACCTAGTGGGCGCGTCAGCAGGTGGGGGATAACTGGATTCCCTATGTAGGTAGTGCCGTCGTGTAATACTTGTGTAGGGTAGCCTTGAATATACTGAATAAAAGGTCGCGGACCAAACGCTCCAAGCCCCAAATACCCAGCGTGTAAAGCGACCCGTGCGTTGGGAGTATGGCACCAGGGGCAAATGGTGCCTTAACGGAGCCCTGGGATACCGGGCGACCTCCCAGCGTATGTAGCCTTACCCTGGTAAGAGGCTCTGCTAGGGTGGACCACACCACTTCCTCACATCTCGTGGGACTCATATGGATAACATTCACTCTGAAACACCACAAAACCAGAACATCTCAGGGGAGAGTCGACCAGACTCAGACCTAGAGATGGTACTTCAGGGGAATGAGGAGAAGCAACACACTGCTACATCCTCAGAACTCTGCACAGGCGGGGGGCACGAAAATGCCGCACTGCAAGAATCCGAGGTGATGGAAGTCTCCTCTGAGACGGAGGAGAGGCTTTTGGGAGAACCGAAAGACTCAGCAACCTCAGAGGAAACTACCGGGGTGGCGGAAGCCAGAACCGGAGAGACCGAGCCAAAGGACAAAACGAAAAAGAGGAAACTTTCTGGAGCCCAAATCAAAAAGCGAAGAAGGGAAAGAAAACTGAGGGAGGAGCAGGAGAAGGCAGCGGAGGGGAAGTCAGCAATGACAACCAACCCGCACACTTCAGCCGGCACCCCCACAGCTACCACCGGGGAGCAGGAAAAGGGAAAACCCCCCTCTAAACCTGCAAACTCGAATAAGAAATCTGGAGCGGCAAAGCGGAAACAGAAAAAAGCTGGTTCCTCGCAGCCGCAAACAGATAGGTTAACGGAGCTGCAGCTGAAAGGCTAAACCTCCAAGAGAGGGAGATCGGACAGCAGCACACCGGACTCCGCCAAGAACACTGTGCCAAACAAACGCTGGAAAGACCAACCAAGACCTTCGTTCTCTGGCGTAGTCACCAGCATTAAAATGGCAGTGGTACCGAAGGACTATCCAAAGAGCAGGCTCAGCGAAAAAGAAATGGAGCTGGTACAGCAGGCTCTTCTAGCAAGGATAGAACCAGACTCAGAGACTAAGCCACAATTTCAGGGAACCAAATTCGAGCAGGGAGCACTGATGCTGTACTGCAGAGACTTGGTTACCAAAATTTGGCTGCAGGATAAGACGGCTACTCTGGTACCCTGGGAAGGGGCAGAGCTGAAGGCGGTCCTTGCAAAGGACCTCATCGTAAGCTGCAGGGTCATCTTTGAAGCACCAGCAGAGTTGAAGAAGGCAAAGCCGTCCGAGATCTTGGAAAAGATCGAGGGACAGAACGGTGGACTTCTTACCAAAGACTGGAAAGTTATACACTCAAAGGAGACCACGATAAAGATGGAAGAGGCGAACAAAGAGTGGCAGAATGCTGAAGGCATGAGACATTCCAAGCAAATGCTGGAAGGCTACTCAAGGAAAATGACTGCAAACCTGTTGCATCGTAGCAGGGAGCAGCTAGGTATACTGTCAGGATTACTGACAGGACACAATCTCCTGCGGAAACACATGCACAGGATGGGTATCTTCAAGGATGAACCAAAGTGTAGGCTGTGTGAGGTAGAAGAGGAAACTGCAGAGCATATCATCTTCGACTGTGAAGCTCTGGAAAAGAAAAGACAGGACATCCGAGGAGATAACCCCTGGGATGACTGTCTAGCACCTGAGTTAGTTGCGGGCACTCTCCTCCAACTTGTTGAAGGGGAGGGCTTCTGGGACTAACCAGGAACCAACAACTGGGCACAATAGATCGAGAGGTCGCAGTGCATGGGGCAACCCACCAGAAAAAGGAAAAAAAAAAAAAAAAAAAATCCGGTTCCAGTTGAGTGAAGCAAGCGCAGCATAGGGGGGAGAAGGGCACTCTCCCCTGCTACCTTGACACAACAGTCACGAAGTACACAAAACGTCAAAGACAGGCAGATACCCCTGACGATGTACAACCAAGTACATCTGAAGATGATGATGAAGGAATATTTCCGCCAAGAAAATTGCGGCCAAGGAAAGAAGGTAAAGGATACATATACCTCGGAGCCATATACCTTCCATAAAGCTTTCTTAGGTGTCATATTGTGCATGGCTTTAAATCCGAAGCCATCAATTCAAGATTACTTTAGTGCGGAGTGGGTATTTCACCAACCATTTTTTGAGAATGTTTTTTCGCGTGAATGCTTCGTCCAAATATTCTGGTGTTTACACATCTCGCCTCCAACTCCAAATGCTCGTGCTCGAACACGCGGGGATAAAGTGAAAAGTGTTGTTGTGTACCTTCAAGAAAAATTCAAAGAATATTTCACTCCACTGTACGAATGCAGTATTGATGAGAGCACGATTGCGTTCAAGGAACGTATCATTTTCAAGTGTTACAATGCACACAAGCCAACAAAGTGGGGACTCAAAGTGTTTGTTCTCAGTGATTCAAGAAGTGGCTATGTATACGCTTTTGAGCCATATTATGGTGCACCGTCCACAGCCAAACTAGTGAGACCTGATCTGCCAGCCACAGCGCGCATCGTTATCCATTTAGCGGAACAATTAGTCACAGGTAACCATGGCTCTGGTTTTCATATTTTCACGGATAGGTACTGTACCAGCCTCGTGCTTGCTCAAGAACCCAAAAAATTGAAAATACACCTCACGGGCACGGTCATGGGCAACCGTAAAGGACTCCCTACAGGTATCCAAAAGGGAAAACTAAAACTTCAGAAACACGAGGCTAAGTTTTTCCGGCACAAGGATGACTTTCTTGTTGCTTTATGGAAAGACAAAAGAAATGTACTGATGCTCAGCTCGTATTGTAATAATGAAATTACTGAAATTCAGAGAACGGAAAAGAAAAATACTGTTGTAACTGTCCCCAAACCAACAGTTATTTGTGATTACAACCGATACATGGGAGGTGTTGATAACGCAGATCATTATATTTCATCCTATCAGTTTTCCCGAAAGTCTGTCAAGTGGTGGAGGAAAATGTTCTTTTGGTTGCTAGAAGTAGCAGTTGTCAACAGCTTTCTGCTATTTAACATGAGTGCTGCTGAGAAAGGCAATAAGCAAATAGCTCATCGCAAGTTCAGAGAGAAGTTGATCACAGAGCTAGTTGGCGATCACCGTAATCGATCAAGTTTGAAAAGAGGGCGTCCATCTACACTGGAGCAAGAAGAAAGACTGGCACCTGTTCCTCACTTTATTGCTGCTCACCCAACTAAGAAGACAAAGGATTGTGCATGTTGCAGCAACAGAAAAGTTCCTGGACAGCGCAGAGAGACTCTCTATTTTTGTAAAACCTGCTCTAAAAATCCCGGTCTACACCCTGGAGAGTGTTTTGAAAGGTACCACACCTTGAAAAAGTTCAAAACTTTCTGATACTGTCGGTATGTAAGTAGTTATGTAGATATTTTTTAGCATTATTTGAAGAAAAATTGCGATTTAATAAAATAATCATTTTTGAGTGTAAAAATGCCTAATTAATTACGAGCTGGGGGGGTTCACAAGTGTCATGGCCTTTTCTCATCATAGGATGTGTCATCTTCTATGACACATCTCATCCGGCGACTTCTCCCTCCACGCCTTGTACTTGCATCCGGCGAAGCCCGTAAGGCTTACCCGGCCGCATGACCAGTCAGTCGTCGAATATAGAGCTTACATGAAACACCCTTAGTGCCTTTTCATTCCACTCATTCGATTGCTCCCCAAGACCAATCCTTGGGTCACAACAATTGGCGGGGAGACGTCAGTCTCCAGATATTCGTCTCCGTGCACACTACTCCCTCCTCCAGTGATATGTGCGAGTGCGACTCCAGTACGTCAACCGGACCAACTCAAACTCAAGTGGAAGCAATTTATAAAATCGGCGAAATCATCGACGCAGAAATTGAGCGTGCGCGAGTGGAACAGTGCCCCCCGGACTTCGAAAAAATTATTCCTGGGAAAGAATACGAAAAACTCCGTGAACTACTGTTTTTCTTCTTCAGAAAAAATCGCGATATCACCACAGAACTTTTCAAAATTTTACAATTTCATCAGCGCGATCAATTCGAATTCCCTAAAAAATCCTCGTAAACAAAAGCAAATTCACCCTGGCACCCCTTGAATGGTTTAAAAGACTCTGGTGTTTGGATCATTTCGGATCGAAAAAGTGTCACTTGCAACCAGCAGAACCACCAACATCAACCACCGCCCACCAGGAGATACTTTTCGAGATAACGATGAACATCCTCGGCTCCGAAGAAAAACTTGAAATTATAAATATTGGACCAGCCCCAAACTTGATAACATCAACAAATCCACCATGGTATGACCACGCCCAATTTCTACTCATTGCACTAATCATTGCTTTCTGTTGCTACTTCTATTATAAAAGAATGCAGAAAAAAAGAGCCGCCCGCCTAGCAAAACAAGTTAAGAACTTGATCGACCTTCATCAAACTTCCACCTCTGGCAATCTGCAACCGGCTCCACGAGCCCAGCCGCTGAAAACCACCCAACCAGACATGACGATCAAGATGCCTATGTGAGCGGAAAGAAGTCAAAATTTTCTCAAAATTATTTTAAAAAAAAAAAAAAAAAAAAAAAAAAATTTTTTTTTTTTTTCTTTTCCTATCTCTATATAACATTGTATGTAAATGTCTCATTGCAAGTTACCCTTCAGGTAACTTGTGTTCTCGATCTTCGATCTGTGGGGGAGATTGTCATGGCCTTTTCTCATCATAGGATGTGTCATCTTCTATGACACATCTCATCCGGCGACTTCTCCCTCCACGCCTTGTACTTGCATCCGGCGAAGCCCGTAAGGCTTACCTGGCCGCATGACCAGTCAGTCGTCGAATATAGAGCTTACATGAAACACCCTTAGTGCCTTTTCATTCCACTCATTCGATTGCTCCCCAAGACCAATCCTTGGGTCACAACAACAAGTCATTTATTTTCCGAGTGGAAAGGGTTAATTACTGATATTTCATGAAGTAGGCGGAGATGAGCTGAATGTACAACAGTTCAATGCCAACGGCTGCAAGGCAGCCCACGATCTAGTCAAGCAGCGGCTTCTCGAGGAGAGCTATGACCTTGGTATAATCCAAGAACCGTATATTAAAAGAAGCTACGGGCAATGGATCATACACACTAATGGCACAGTCGGGATGTGGGTCAAGAGACCTGAACTGGTAGAGGAAATACTGCAAGACCAAGCAGGTATACTCGGAGTCAAAATTAAAGGGATCACTTTCGTCAGTGTATACTTCTCTCCAAAAAACAAAACGATACAGGAGTACGAAAACTATTCGAATGCATCCCTGCATTCAGCATTCTGCCTTCCCTTTACAATAGTTGGCGACACCTTTGCAGGAATAAAACCCAGTTTTTAGGATCCTAATTAACTTTTTGCATATGCATTATGGTGCATTCATTTTGGTACGTTAACTTTTTTAGGCGCCACAATGGCCCAGTCTTGTAATTTTAAGATTTGCCTGTAGAAGGCAGAGCTCCGTCTTCACTTGGAAAATACAAGGAGGGGTTTTTCAAAAGTAAGATCTCCAACACGCTGGTGGACCACATAATTACGTTAGGCGAAATCCGACGACACAGCCTCCTTGGGTAACTCCTCACCTTTAAAACACGTGGTCCACCGATCAGCTGACATGTCCAGTTGTGCTTTGGCAGTCATTTTAGTCAGATCGCGCAATCCTTGTTCTTGCCAGGTCAGCTTCGATGAGTCTTCCAATCGCCATTTCCGCAAAGTGCAGAATTCGCGAAGTGATTCGATTCTTGGATGCAAAGGGCGTAAAACCCATATCGTCAATTAGTAGAAGTGTGCGGAGATGAGGTTATGGACGTGAAAAATGTCCGTAAATGGTGCCGTGAATTCACAGCAGGTCATACCGACATTCACGATGAAGAGAGAAGCAGCCGGCCGTCGACTTCTGATGAGACAATTGCAAAGATTGAAGCAGCATTGCTTGAAGATAGAAGAGTGACGCTCAAGGAGCTTACTTCCTTGGTTCCTGATGTTTCTCAAACCACCATTTACCGAATTTTGACTGAAAAACTCCAGTATCACAAAGTGTGCGCCCGGAGGGTTCCGCGAATGCTGACGTATAAACACAAACAGCAACAAGTGCAGGCTTCACAAGAATTCATTGAGCGCTATGCCAACAAAAAGGATGATCTCTTGAATTCTATTGTTACAGGTGACAAAACATGGATCTATCTGTACACACCCGAGACCAAAGAACAGTCTCGTCAGTGGATGCATACAACTTCGCCAAAGCCTAAGAAATTCAAGCAAACCCCGTCTACCGGTAAGATCATGGCAACCGTTTTTTGGGACTCAAAAGGAGTATTGTAGCTTGAATACATGGAGCCTGGAACCACAATTAATGCATTGACTTATTGTGAGACTTTAAAAAAATTGAGACGAGCTATTCAAAACAAACAAAGAGGATTGCTGACAAAGGGTGTGAACTTTCTTCACGACAATGCCCGTCCACATGCAGCCTGTCTTACTAATGATCTCCCGGCTCAATTTGGATGGATTGTCCTTGATCATCCCCCCTATAGCCCGGATTTAGCCCCCAGTGATTACCATCTATTCCCAGCATTGAAAAAACACTTGGGTGGACAGCACTTCGGCGACACTGACGACATGAAGGAAGAGATGGCACGGTACTTCTGAGAGGTGGCGGTACAGCATTACGATGAGGGCATACGGAAACTGCTCCCAAAACTACAAAAATGCATCGATTGAGACGGTGATTATGTTCAAAAATAGCTTAGGATATTACCTTTCGAACCATGAAATACTTTTAGAAAATATATGCTTTTATCTACTTGAAAAAATTATGGAGACCTTACTTTTGGAAAACCCCTCGTACAATGTATTTTTTTCTAAGGGAAGTATCTTATGTGTTCACAGAAGCTGCATAGTTGGCCAACTGCAGATGATTCCACAATCATGATATGTGTATTCAAATCTTCAATGTTGTGTGTTAAACTTGTGTACCTCCAGTGATGCTCAATATTGTTTATCTAATGATCAGTTTCTGTCACATCACCTACCAAGCGTGTGTAACCATTGCCTTCATAGTAATATTTCATTGTGCTGTAAAATGAATATGAAATATCATCAATTAAAGTCTTCTAAAATCTTGCTCATATCTTTCCTCTTGTCACCAAGTTAATGTTTCCCCATAGCTGTGAATATCATTCCATGTCTATATGAACTGTAGACAATGACCGTTCAAATTTATCCTGAAAGTCATGTGTGACTTTGACCATTAGGAAGAAAAGAATAAGTCATAATATGCTACAGCATAAGTTCTATCTTTTAATGCACAAACTAACTATGTCTTCAATTCTATTTCGTTCACTAAACAGCAATATTTGATCTGCTGGGAAAGACCTCATTTTCAAAATTAGCGAGGGCATGTACAATTTCTTTTGAAATTTTGAATAAGTGTCACCAAAAAATACGGAAACAATGGATGGTCTCTCAATGATAATAGATGCCGGGAAGAAGGCAAGCGAGATCATAGAAGAAGTCCCAGATAAACTCACCACACCTGATTCGATCTTGATAAAGCTGACTTCACTAGCCAAACCTGAGTTGCCGTGGATTGTGCTCAGAGCTGATGAAGACCTCAAAGATCACTACAAAAAACTACTGAAAATACAACACGATGATGATACAGGTCATCTCTCCGGTTTCTGAGTTGGCCTAGCCATGATAGGGTATATCAATACCCAATTTTACTCAGACATTAAAGCAAAACTCGCACAGGAGCTAGTAGAATTAGTAGATGCTGATATTGATGAGTTTGCAAAAGAGAAAAAGTTAGACATTGATTCATCAGAACTAAGTATGTAAACCCTGGAAAATTATTCTCTCCAGACTTCTCAGACCTTTCTAAACTTATAGATACCCTGCTAATTAAGTGTTAGAGGCTAGAGAATGGCTGTAACTCAGGCTAGATGAATTGAACTGGGTAGAAGAACCATGGCAAATTTGAGAATTAGTTTCAAGGAGTAGTGAGCTGAGCTACTCATATTTTTCCTTTTGACAAAAAATCAGAGTTGAAAACAAAATATTGAGTGTGAAAACAGGTAACTTTAAATGAAGCATACGGAGAGAACCTCTTTTTCTTCTTTTCAACTTGATGTGGTTTAACTTTTTCCTGGTGCGTTCCAGACGAATGTAATCCGGAACAGTAAAATGTCTTTTATATCATAACGAGCTGAGTCCTTCATATATTGACTCTTCTTTTCCGGAGACAAAGGCGTTGACATTACTGCTGATCATTTCCGCGCAGGAACTTTTGAACTTTAAAAACTCTTTAACCCGATGTAAGCACATGTATTAACACTCTTTAATTAATGTGTCAGTAGCAGCACAATTCTCAACTGGAGTCGTTTAGACTTTGAGTTAAGATTACACTTACTTTTTTTGGCTTGATTACGAAACAAAAAGAGCATCTGCATTCACATAATTTTGTGACATTGTTTTATCACGAAGCCTAGCTTTTAGTAGATTATGCTCCAGAACGCCCAATTTTACATCCATGCTTACGATATCACCTTTCACGATGCTGATGGCTTTCTTGAGATTTACCAACGGAGCTGAAATCAGAAAAAGTTTTTAATTAGGTTGAGAGTTTGAATCAAACCTAGAGGCCTTACATATATGAAGTCCTGAATACAGGGTTGCCACGGACTTTAGAAAATGAATTTCCTTGACTTTCTCCCGATTTCCTTCACACAGTTTGGTAAAATTCCCTGACATAGAAAGATATGCCAGATAGTCAAAAAGACGTAATTTGAAATAGTTTCCAGGCAAAATTTGTTGTTTGAGAGGTCAAACCTATTCTAGAAAGCAAATGGAGGTGACTTGACAATTTTTCCCTAACACTTTTGTCATTTTTCCTAACATTTCCAGGTTTTCCCTGATTTTTCAGAATTTCCTGACACCTTCCAACCCTGACTGTTGCAACCTGTTTCATAATACAAACCAGTTTTCATATTTTTGAGAAACAGCCTTGTGTGGATGCAAAGCACCTGCAAGGATTCCTGATTTATGGATACTGAGTCAAATCATTTTTTAGCATTTAATTTTTGTGCTTGGTAGACCTGCTGATTGATGAAAATAGATATCATTCTAATAACAGGTTCATTAACAAATATAACCTGATACAACCATTTTTCACACATTATAGATCAACCATGCTGAATATAGAACCTTTCCTTCCCCGGCTGGAAGAAGGCCCATCAAAAAGGGGTTAGAGATGAAGAAAGAACACTCGGATATTGGTGGTACAGGCAAACAAAGAACAAGACTGACGAGCGACGCCGGACAAACAAAGAAATACACACAAAAAGAAAGAAAAAAGAACAGAAACTAAAAACTGGGTTGACGGGTTTAGCCCCCCGTCAGGGCATACTAAGTTTCACACTTACATTTTTTGAGAAAAAAGGAAGAACCGATGTGAAACGACAGACCGAACAGCAGAGCGAAAAGAACGAACTTGAAGAACGAAAAAAAAAAGAGAGGGGAGCCAAGTAGTGCTAGTAGCCGCCACGCGACCACTAGCGCTACTTGGCGGGCTAAAATTTTGAAAGGTGAAGGGGTAGGGGGAACACCCCGTTACAAATAGAGAGCTAGTCTTTTGCTTTAATCAAAGTTATTAATTCCTATACTTACACCCATCCGTCATACAAGAGCTTCTATCTTCAATTTTCTGCTTTACTGTTTCTAGAGCACTTGTTGCCTGCGATAACTGACGCTGACGTTCTTCAATGCCACCACTGAGTTCTTGGAAACGATTTGTCACTCGAGCTAGTTCATCCTAAATCAAATTCAATTAAAATTAATACACATCTGTTTTTTGTTTCAGCAAAAACTGGACCTTTCAAATTCCTATTTTTCTCATTTTAACAATACGCTCCTAAACCCAGGATTGTTTTGTGATGGAAATTTAATAGTTGTACAATTTAAAAGGTGATTTGAAAGGAATGTCTTTACTAAAACTCAAGGATTGAAGAATAGGGGTTTTCATGAAATTGGTGAGTATGTATTGAATCATTATATTTTAGGAGGCACCATCTGGGTATAAAAATATGCATCAACGCAAGTTTGTTCCATCTGCCTAAGGCCATTGTATCCTCCATTAGGTAATTTTTTCCAGATTGCAGCGGTACGTAGGAATAGAATTACGCCAAACTTGTTCTTTGACTAAATTTGAACTGGATTCCTCTGGAAAGTAGAGGGGCTTTTTTTGGCAAAGGCTTAGATAAGATAAGATAACATAAGATAATTATATTTATTTGTATATAAAGCCATGTGGCTATGATACATTGTCAAGTGAAAAAAAAAACCATCTATGGTTTATATGCATATAGATCATACATATATACATAAGGATTAGGTTACTTAAGAATTCCTTAAAGGAATAATAAGGCCTTTTTTGGAGACAGTTTTTTAATTTTTTCAGGAAAACTGCCTCCCTCTTCCTTGAAGGCCCCCCGCAAGGACGGGGATAATAAGTTAAATATTTCCACTGCTCTGCGAATACACGCTTTCCCTCCTGCTTTTTGTTTTTCTTTTATCGTGGAAGTTATGCCTTGTATTAAAGTTATGCGCTGGATGCATGTGCCCAAACTAGTTATGCACAATTCGCCTGACTTCATCTGTATAAAAATTATATATCTACCTGAAAAAGGGAAGTTAGATTAGAATCATAAGGGAAAAATGGATAGTTTAAAACAAACCTGAGCAATACGGTATTCTTGAAGAAGCTGCTCCAACTGACTATTCAACGATTTTTCTCTACTGGTGATTTTATCCAAGTTTTCGACTAGATCAGAGCGTAATTTATCAAGCTGGGGTCTTGCAGCCTTCATAATATCCTTCGTTTTATCCCTATACATTTTCATTTGGTCTAAATTTGATCGCCATTCTCTGGCATCTATGAAAAACGGAAAGAGCACACATTGAGATTTGCACACGAAACTGACTTCGGTCTTTTGGCTAGGGGTCAGAGCATATCAAAATTGTAGTGATCTATCATGACCTGATCAAAAACTACTGGTGAAATCGTGTGCAAGATAACAACAATGGTGCTAAAAAGGGTGACAAATAAAAATAGGGAACAAATGTACAAGCAAAAACCCATTACTCACTTGTTTTGATTATGACTCGTAGTTGCGGTAAAACCCGTTCCAATTCTAATTTCCAATCGTCGAAGTTTGTCGTTGACTCTAAAATTTCATCAGCTTTTGAAATTGCTTTGGGTACCTGAATTGGGGGGAAAAAAATCAATGAGATCAAGTAATTGCTGAACTTTTTTCTGCCGAAATTTGTTTGTGGTCTGAGTGGAGAAAGTGATTCTGGCAGAAAAATAGAGCAGGGGTTTGCAAAACGCAATACATCTTTACTATAGCAGACATAATAAAGTAATGAAAATAAATAACAGCAAGACACCACTAGACAAGTCTAAGTTAGAAAATAAGCGCCACTTGTTATCTCTTCAAAATCTTGCGTACAAAAGAAAATTTACACGATGGGAAGTCCAGAAACCAATATATTCAACACAGAGCAAGTGGTGGTTAGATAATATGGATGATATCAATTGCACTTTTGCCATTTAACCAATGGTAATTGTTTAATTTAATATGCACTTGACGCAATTAGTCGTGCCAGCATCTCAGCCAGTGTCATAAAAGAAATCTTATCAAAATCAAAGAATGAATGTTTCGAGACTGTAAACAGGTTGTGGGACTCGATTCCATTGGTCTCACTTTTGTATGCTGTTGAAATTTGGGGTCTCAGATACGGTGATCAAATAGAAGTTGCCCTAAGTAGATTCTTTAAATCAGTATTTAGATGGCAAAGATGCACGCCCCACTATGCCATCAGAATGGATCGTTACGTTCACAGGATATTATATCCTGTGAACGTAACAATTCCTCTGTTTTTTGTAAGTAACAATTTATTTTTCACTTGATCTCAAGGGGCAATAAGTTTTCATTAAGTATATTTTCACAGCCTACTTTACTGAGGAGTATTTTTAGTTGCAAAAACCAGTTGAATTTTGGAACATTTACATCTCTGGAATCTAATTCCTTTAGGCACTTAAAGCAAATTTTAGGGTACCTAGAGTCATCCATATTTTTAACCTTGGCTAACCAATTCAGTGCATTTTTGATAACTTTTACTTCAAGTTTACATTTACCAGTCTCCATTCTGATGGCATAGTGGGGCGTGCATCTTTGCCATCTAAATACTGATTTAAAGAATCTGCTTAGGGCAACTTTTTTGATGGATGATGTTTGGAAAAACAGATTACACCATGTGAAAGAGCGCAAAAAATCAGGGCCTCATAGTGCTGCACAAAATTTTCCAGAAACAACAGAGCTTCAAAACAGTTTCAGATTTTCGAAGCTTCTTGCTGAGTAGGCAATTTTCATTGCAGGGACTTAGGGAAATTGCCTACAGAGCAAGGGGCTTCGGAAATCCTGAGGCTGCCGCAACGGATTCATGCTCCAGAGTTTGGTAGCCCCTTGCTCCGTAGGCAATTTCCTTAAGTCCCTGCAGTAAAAATTGCCTACTCCGCAAGGAGCTTCAAAAATCTGAAACTGTTTTGAAGCTCTGTTGCGTCGAAATGACGCGTTTCTGGAAAATTTTGTGCAGCACTATAAGGTCCTGATTTTTCGCGCTCTTTCACATGGTGTAATCCGTTTTTCCAAATATCATCTACCAAAAAAGTTATCGCAATTTTAAAATTCGGGAATGCTTGTAACGTCCTTTCCCAAAGATGTACGTCCTTGAAAACACAAAAAATGAACAGAGCGCTAAAAAATACCCCCCTACACCAAGTTTCAGCTACTTACAACAAAATAACGAGGAGTTACATTAATTTGAAAGAAAAAAAATGGCAACTTTGGATGCGCATAGCTCACTTATGAAGCGTTTTTGGGCATGTGTGTATAGGAAACAATAGTCATATTTTGAGCCAAAAAATCGACCCTGAAAGTTAAGTACATTAACGCTCAGACACCCTGTAGAGAAAATAAATGCATCATCCTTTATGCCTCATTATATACCACTCTCCCCAAATTAGCCTTGTAATAAAAATAGCTACCATAACTTCAACAGTAACTTTAAAGAGAAGACACTCTTCAGTCAAATTAGATTAAGTAACAAAGACTTCTTCATTATTCAAGTGCATTAATCCTTGTATAAAATTTGCGTAAATGAACTTCGGTTCATTTGTAATATGCAAACTCTCGAGAACCTTGAACACCTAATCTTTGAATGCCCGATGTGAAAAACGATTAGATTTTCCTTAGAGATTAGAAATTCCTGGGAAAATACTCTAGAAACCTATAGTAACTGCTTGAATATAACGCAAACAAAGAACAAACTTCTGATATCTACAAATATCTAACTACAGCCATGAAGATCAGATCATTTGTGCTAAATGAATAATTGTAACGTCACCTGTTAAGCCCAATTCGCACTATCAAGCTTTCCGTCCGGCTTAGTTGGGCGGGGACTTTCGTCCGGTTTTCCGTCTGATTAGCGCCACCAATTGGATGAGGGTTGGACGGAGAGTAATTGAATCAATTTTTGTTTAATTCAGCTTTCCGTCCGATTGTGCTGGATGGAGGGTTTGGTGGTGTGAATTGGGCTTTAGAAGTCATGTCAAACCATCCATTTATCAGAAGACTTCAATCGCTTCTTTGCCTGTTGTGACTGTTTTAACCCTTTCCGGTCCAATGTCGGATATATTCGCCGTGAAAAATAACGCGTTTAGGTCCGATGTCGCATATAGTCGGCCTAAAGTTTTAACCTCTGTGCAGGCCTGATGTCGGGTATATTCAACTGCTCCAGCAAGTGGCGGTCTCTGGTGGACCCTTTGGAAACCACTGTCTTTGTTGACAACATCGCTACTACCTTAACCTCGCTTCCCGCGGCCGTGGAAAACTGCTGCGGACCGGAAAGGGTTAAAGCATGTCTATCTGAATTTTACTGTAGTGTATACCTAAATACAAAACCTCCCCCCATTTGTAAATCCTTCATGGGAAGAAATAAAGTGTTATCTTATCTTATCTACTTTAATATGTTTTATCTTGTTTCGAAGTTGATTTCCAGTCTTCCAATTGCACGATTTGTTTTCCTCCAGTTTGAAGAGAAAACATGGCGCGTAGTGCTTTAATTCATATAAATTTCAGAGGCCTATTGAAAGAGGTAATACAGTGCCAATTGTAAGTAAACAAAAAAACCACATGGAAGTGTGAGAAAAAAACCGAGATTGTTAAAAGAAATGTTCGTAACATCCTGACATGGATCATCATTTAAAAAAAAAATCGGTAAATACTTCAACACTTACATTATTCACAGCATAGAGATCATCAATATTTAATAGATTCTCTTCATCTTCATCTGAATCTCTGGCCATAAGTTCATCTTCGATCTGCTCTTGTAAAACTTCGGAGTCGTCTTCGGGTATCACCTCCTCAATAGTTTCTTCTTTTGGAAATTGGGGCCTGAAAGTTAACAAAGCATATTTGTTCAAGACTATAACACTATATTTCAGAGGAATACAATTAAAATTTGAAAAGGGGTAAAGAGGGAGATAAATAGATACTTTGATCAAAACTTTGAAAAAATTGATGTACCAAACTTTGGAATATCTCATCAGTGCCTTACAAAAAAATAAAAGTCAAGAGTAGTAACGTTTTAAATGCTTTTACTGATAACTATTAAGGTTTCCAGAACTGGCCTCCATGCAAACTCAAGAAGAAATGGACAATTTTAGGCCGCTTATGAAATGCCAAACCAATGGTTTACAAAATTAGATAATCTGAATTCAATAACCACGGTATCTTCAATGTTTTTCTAGCTGGGGGGAGGGGGGGGTTGCAGATCGGAGTGGAAGCTTTCCAGTTCCAGAAACAGGAACTTTCCTT